GTTCACATGGCAGCTGGGGAGCTCTCTGAGTGAGGGCTACATCGTGGATGTTTTCTGCTCAGTTTCCGATGAGAAGTTCTGACTGAAAAGTACATTTTTAGAGGAGTTGCAACCTCCCACCCCTTTATTTTTTACTTTTACTTTGCATAATGAGTTATATGTTGGGTCTTGGTCAGAAATGGTGCCTGTTCACCCAGCCCCAAGATGGGCATCACACTGAGGAAAACATTTTGAGGCCTTGACAGGAGCTTGGAGGAAAAGGCTGAGGTGAGGATTCCTCAGACCGTCAGCCTAAGATTCACATTTCCAACATGTGGCCAGATTTGATTCTGAAAGCAACTATAACCAAATAGAGGGATGAAGAAGGTGACCAGATCCTGGAGGCTCTGCAATGGAATGACTGAATGACCCTCCCTAAAATCCCATATGGCTTGGATGTCACTAGTTGAATGCCAGGCAGTTCCAGCCCATTAACACAGAGATGTCAGGATGGGAGTGCAGCATGTGGACAGCCCTGGGTTCAAACTCCAGCCCTTACACAAATACACACCAAAGATGACAATTGTATCAGTTGTGAGTCCTTTTTCTTTTTTAACTGTAGCGCAAGAACCTGTATGTTCATTTGTAACCTGTTCCATATAGAAACATTATGGCAACGGTGTAGCATGTAGACAGACAGCCCTGGTTTCAAACTCCAGCCCTTACACAAACACACACCAAAGATGACAATTGTATTAAATGCTACTCCTTTTTTCTTTTTTTAACTGTAGCCAAGAACCTGTATGTTCCTTAACCTGTTCCATATAGAAACATTATGGCCATGGTGTAGAGAGTCCTTTAGTCATAGACACCCACTTGTTTCACAGCCACAAGGGCCCCAGCTGGGACTGCTAGTCAGTGACTTGTCTCCCTATGCAGAACACACAGGTCTTTGTCCTCTGCACCGGCTGATCCAGTCTCTCATCACTGGTTTTCTGCATCCTAGGCCTGAGTACTGGCTGGCCTTGTTCAGAAGTGTAATCATTACACACTGTGCCTGCAGGGCAGGCAGGCAGGAAGCGCTTTAAAACCGGGAAGTGTGGGTTTGGGAGCAGCTACATCAGGCTTGGCTTTAAGGTTACCCATGCACAGAGATTCATCTTAGTGGCCCTTCCTTCAGTCCCATCAGCAACTTAAAAAACAGTCACAACTTGCTCACACCCTTCGCTCACAAGGGCCTCTGTGCCTGAAAGACAGAGCAGTTTTTCGGGGCTGAGCATCCTTTGAAAGCTCTGCTGGGAAGGAAGCATTGTTTGTGGGACTTGAGGGGCAAGAGAAGGCACAGCTTGTGCAGGGCTGCCAGGAGTTCAAAGGCGCGCCGCTTTTAATCCCAGACCGTTTTCGTTTTGCTTGACTTTTATTTCTTTCTGGGTGGCTAAACTGCAAACTTCTATTAATCTACTGCCAAGTAATTTTTCTCAAGAAGGTGGATACATTACCCAATCCACATCTGGGAGTGCTGGTAGGACAGTTTTGTGTGGCTGAAAACAGGGGAAACTAGGCCACTGTTCTCTCTGTGGAGCAGATTCTTCCCTGGCGTTGGGTGTGAGCTGCTGGACTAGTAAATGTGGAAATTCGATCCCCTGGCAATCAGAGATCTTGGCGGCAAAGAAGCCCAAGTATTTCTGCAGTTTCCAGTTCTGTGTTAGTAGAACAGCCAAAATGTCAGCCGTGGTGATGAACGCCATCCAAGTCCACACAGGCAGCGGGAGGGGAAACTCAACGTCAGGAAGTGACATTTAGCATTTAGGGACAAAGTTGAAGAAATACAGAAACAGCCAAGAAGTGGTTACTGGAAGGAACACTTTACCTGAATTTCTGCCCGCCCTTGTTACAACAAAGAGACTTCTTAACATGACTTTCAAACTTGCACAGCACACACAAGCCACCCCCCCCACTCTTTTCTCTCTCTCTTACATATACCCACTCTCACAATACCACACACACACACACACACACACACACACTTTAGCTCTTCACAGTACTAACAGTTTCCAGAAGTAACCAGAGCTGATCATGTCAACAGATACAATTTCTTCAATTTCTTTTCTTTGTGTGTGCCCTGAGGTGGGGGTGATTTGAGAAAGTGTCTCACTGTATAGCTCTGGCTGTCTGGGAGCTCTCTGTGTAGACCAGTGTAGATCCAAGCACCGGGATCAAAGGCATGAGCTACCATGCCGTACATGCAGTTTCTTAAAAGTGTAAGTGATAGATGAACTAAAGTGAGTGGCCAGGATCATGATGTGTATGACTTTGCCTCCCAAGTGCTAGACTTAAGGATGTGCAGTGACTGTCTTTATTGCTTTTGTTTTTGTTTTGTTTTGTTTTTGAGACAGTTTCTTTGTGTAGTCCTGGCTGTCCTGGAACTTTATAAGACCAGGCTGACTTTGAACTCACAGAGATACACCTGCCTCTGCCTCCCGAGTGCTGGGATTAAAGGCGTGCACCACCACTGCTCTGCCTGACTTTAATCTTAATAATCAACACAGACCTGTCCTCCAGGCATCTTCTCTTTGATGTATATTCTCTAGGGGAACCATGGATTTTTTTTTGAGATGTTGACTCTGTATCCTTTTGATTACTTGATTTAACTTGTTCACATAACTGCTTCCCCATGTTATTTGGGCCTTCTTTGTTTTGATGGACTACAAGCATTAGTTTTAATTGGCTGACACAGGGTAACCCAGGAGAACTATGAAAGTCCGGGCTATTTAAAGCTGCACACTTTGCTTAATACACAACCCCTTTAGGTTGGTACTGTTGAATACGAAGCATTCGTTGGAAACCAACTGGCTGATGAAGTCTCAAAGTAATATAGTTATGAGCTACTCAGAGGAATGTACCAAATTATGCTCATTACGGTGGTTTCAGTTTAAGGAAAAACAAATAAACAAAAAAAAAACCCACTAAGGTGTTGGAGAGAGGATGGTTCAGTGGTTAAGATCACTGGCTGTCCTCAAAGAGGACTCAAGTTTGACTCCCAACACGCACATAGTAGCTCCCAATCATCTGGAACTCCAGTTCCAGGGTATTCAACACCCTATCCTGGCCTCTGAGGGCAGCAGGCGTGTACACAGTACATATACATACATTCAGGAAAAGCACTCACACATGTAAAATAAAAATAAATAATTTTCTAAAAAACTGTTTGCTGCCGGGTGGTGGTGGTGCATGTCTTTAATCCCAGCCCTTAGAGACACAGGCGGGTGAATCTCTGAGTGCAAGGGCAGCCTGGTCTACAGAGTGAGTTACAGGACAGCCAGGGCTACACAGAGAAACCCTGTCTCATGAAGGGGAAAGAAAAGGAAGAAATAAAATGTTTGCTGCTTAAGCTTGAGGAGTTGAGTTCAAGTCCCCAACACCCACATGCCTGCTGTAACCCCAGCACTGCGGGAGACAGAAACAAGAGGCTCGCTGGGTCCTCATGGCCACCAGACAGGCTCCAGGTTCAGTGAGAGACCCTGTCTCAAGGTCCTACAGTGGAAAGTAAGAGAATACCCAGTGTCTTCCTCTAGACCAGTGGTTCTCAGTCTTCCCAATGCTACAACCCTCATGTTATGGTGACACCATCCCCTACTCCCACCAGCCATAAAATATTCTTGCTGCTGCTTCATAACTACTGTTAGGAATCATAATGTAAATATCTGATGTGTGACCCCCGTGAAAGGGTGACTGTACCTCCCAAAAGGTCAAACTCACAGGTTGAGAACTACTGCTCTATACTCTTATGTATATGCACAGGTGTGTGGGAGCACACATATGCACATATACCATGCATGCAAACACACACACACACAAACTAGAGAACAAGATGTGTTGTTGATGGGGTATAGAGAAATTGATACTTGAATCCATCACAACCCTGTGATAGGTCACTGTCCTCACCTTCATTGTAGCAAGAGATACATAGAACTATTTGCTCAAAAAAAAAAAAAGTTGTTCCTATGAATATCCATATAAAAATGCCCAAAGTAGCCAGGTGGTGGTGGCACATACCTTTAATCCCAGCACTCAGGAGGCAGAGACAGATTTCTGTGAGTTCCAGGCCAACCTGGTCTACAGAGCTAGTTCCAGGATAGCCAAGGGTATACAAAGAAATCCTGTCTCAAAATGAGAGAGACAGAGACAGAGAGACAGAGAGATGCCCAAACTGAACCTGTTAATAAGCAGTCTTTTGCTACCTTTGGCCAACAATTGTGGAAAAGCAAAGCAAAGTTACAGGGGAGGGTAGTCATGGAGAACTCTAGAGCTCTAAATTGGTCTTTATCCCAAAGGCTTTGAGCCATGTTATTATGTGGACCTACAGGACTGCCAGGTGAATGCTTGCCAAGCAAAAAGGTTTTAATTTTAAGGGGAAACGAACGAATGTTTAGGAAATCTCTTTCCTAAGAGGTGTCCCTGGGGAAAATACAGGAATTAAGACAGTCTTTTTTTTGTTTTGTTTTGTTTTGGTTTGGTTTTTACGAGACAGGGTTTCTCTGTATTGTTTTTGAGGCTGTCGGTCCAGCCTGGCCTCGAACTCACAGAGATCCGCCTGCCTCTGCCTCCCGAGTGCTGGGATTAAAAGCGTGCGCCACCAACGCCCGGCAAGACAGTCTTGATCAAGCCTAGGTTGCATTCTTCTCCCCATCTCTAAGCAAATTACATAAAAATCTAATTGAAATGTTGTGCTTCTCCAGTAGCTGCCTGAAAGCCGCCCCTGGACATCATAGTGACTCCGGTAGCTCTACGTGTTGTCCCACCTGTGAAATTACCTTACATGTGCTTTACTATTCCATATTTAGCAAATATTTAGATCTGTGACAACCGGTATAGTCACCTCAAAGGTCAACCCAACTGCTCCTCCAAACACTGGGAAGATGCAAGAGCACTCCTCGTCAGAGTCCACCAAAACAAATAGGATGTAGTTAGGCTTCGGTAAATATCCTGGAGCTAAATCTCACTTCTCTTCTCTTCCAAAGCTTCCGCAGGTTCACCCGGTCCAACAGCGTGACCACCGCAGTGCAGGCTGACCTGGACTTCCATGATAATCTGGAAAATTCCCTGGAATCTTTAGAGGACAATTCGTGTCCCGGCCCGATGGCCAGGCAGTTCTCCCGGGATGCCAGCACGTCTACCGTCAGCATCCAGGGTTCGGGGAACCATTACCACGCCTGCGCAGCCGACGATGACTTTGACACGGATTTTGACCCCTCCATCCTGCCTCCCCCGGACCCCTGGATTGACTCCATCACAGAAGACCCCCTGGAGGCCGTTCAAAGGTCCGTGTGCCACCGGGATGGCCACTGGTTCCTGAAGCTTCTCCAGGCAGAGCGAGACCGCATGGAAGGCTGGTGCCAGCAGATGGAGAGGGAAGAGCGGGAAAACAGCCTCCCCGAGGACAGTAAGTAGTGCTGCCCCGCGTGTCGGTGACTGTGGTGTGGGCCGTGCCGGTTTGTGTGCGTAGGCTTTCCACCAGCTCAGCTTGTAGTAACCCTTCTGTTTGTTTCACACCCCAAACCCAAACTCCTGGAAGAGCTGTGCGATTCCGTTGAAACACCAGAAAGTGCTGTACTGCACAAAAAAAGGGAAAGCCACGGAGCCGGTGCCACACCCTCCAGCTCTAAGATCTGTAGCTTTCCTTTCCTCCTCTGAAACACATCCAAGATCAGCGTGGGGCTATGGTCTCGCTGTCTCCCAGCATCCACACTTCCCCCAACATAATCTTAAAATATGTCCGATCCCAACTCTAACTAGCTGGGCGGTGGTGGCGCACGTCTTTAATGCCAGCACTCGGGAGGCAGAGGCAGGTGGATCTCTGTGAGTTCAAGGCGGTCCTGGTGTACAAAGGGAATTCCAGGACAACCAGGGCAATACAGACAAGCCCTATCTTGAAAAATCAAATAACAACAATAATTTTATTTATTACTATTAGTAAGATTATTATTATTATAACTAGTTTTAAGGTCTGCCTTAGTCAGGGTTACTGCTGCTATGATGAAACACCATGAACAAAAGCAAGTTGGTGAGGAAAGGGTTTCTTTGGCTTACACTTGCATACGACTCTTCATCATCAAAGGAAGTCAGGACAGGATCTCAAACAGGGCAGGAACCTGGAGGCAGGAGCTGATGCAGAGGCCATGGAGGGGAGCTACTTACTGGCTTTCTTATAGAACCCTGTACCACCAAGCCCAGGGATAGCCCTACCCACAATGGTCTGGCCCCTTCCACATCAATTATCAATCAAGACAATACCACACATGCTTGCCTGCAGTCCAGTCCCACTGAGGCATTGTCTTAATTGAGGCTCCCTCCTCCTCCTCATTTCCAGGTGGATTTTAGATTTTGTCAGGCTGACAACACTAATAGCCATCTCAATGTGTGTGTGTTGGGTTATTATCTTTATAGTTTTATTAGTCTTATTAACATGCAATATTAAAATAACAATAGTGTATAGGCCAATGGAAACCCTGCTTATTGCATCTTTCAGCCAGTTTGTTTTGAGAGGTGGGGGGCTCTTATATAACCCCGGCTAGCCTGGAGCTCAGTAGCAAAAGATATCTTTGTACTTTTTGATCTTCCTGCTTTCACCTCCCAAGTGCTAAGATTATAGGTGTGTGTCAGCCTGCCGGGTCATGGTATTATAGGCTTGTACCGTGACCACGCAGGGCTAGCTGACCAGTTTATTTTGCTGTTTTGTTTTCCTTCTTGAGACAGGGTCTCACTGCATAGCTCTGGCTGGTCTGGAACTTTTATGTAGACCAGGCTGTCCTCAAGCTTTCCGTGATCAGTGATCCACCTGCCTCTGACTCCTAGGTGCTGGGGGTTAAAGGTATGTGCTAACCGCCTTTTGTTGTTATTGCTATAGACTTATTTATGACTGGAGAGATGGTTCAATGGTTGGAAGCCCTGACTTTGGAGCCCTGGCTGCTCTTCAGCAGGATTCAGATTCAATTCAATTAAAAGACAACCTCTGAGAGAGAGAGAGAGAGAGAGAGAGAGAGAGAGAGAGAGAGAGAGAGAGAAATGAAATGGAGGGAGGGAGGACTAGAAGAAGAAAGAAAGAATAAAACATGGCCCCTTTCACGTGATCTGACCCCCTCATACAGACATGCATGCAGGCAAAACACCAATGCACACAATTTTTTTTAATTTAAAGGCTTGTTTATTAATTTTGTCTATGAATGCTTTCCTGTGTGTATGCTGTGTGCACCACGTATGTGTCTCTGATGCCCGTGGAGATCAGAAGGGAGCATCAGATCCCCTGGTACTGGAGTTAGAGATGATTGGTATTTTCAAGAGGGGCTGGGAACCAAACCCAGGCTCCCTGCAAAAGCAGTAAGTGTATTTGGGTGCTGCAATATCCCTCCAGTCCCCCTCTGGCCTCCCTGTGAACAAAGCATCCTTTTTTTTTTTGGTTTTTCGAGACAGGGTTTCTCTGTGGCTTTGGAGGCGGTCCTGGAACTCACTCTGTAGACCAGGCTGGCCTCGAACTCACAGAGATCCGCCCGCCTCTGCCTCCCGAGTGCTGGGATTAAAGGCGTGCGCCACCAACGCCCGGCTACAAAGCATCCTTAAAGCTATGTAGGAGGCAGCTTTAGGCTAGACTAAACTCAGCTACAGGCTAATAGAAATCAACAATCTGGCCCCGGTGGTGGCGCACGCCTTTATTCCCAGAATTTGGGAGGCAGACACAGGTGAATCTCTGAGTACTAGGCCAGCCTGGTTTACAGAGCAAGTTCCAGGACAGCCAGTGCTGCATAGTGAGACTCTTTGAGTGGGTGGGATTTGGGAAGAGAGGAATGGACTCCATGGATTGTATAAGGGTGAGCCAGAGGCTCCAAGTGAGCAGTGAAACCCAAAAGAAGGAAGGAAAAAAGGAAGGAAGGAAGGAAGGAGAAGCCCACAGGGCCTCAACCCTATACAAAGAAAAGCAACATTATATGAGCTCAACAGGTTATATTTAGGAATATGTATATATATATATATTCATATACATATTTGCACACAATAACAACTGATGGAAAAGGAAGCCACGAGTTTGAAGGAGAGCAGGGAAAAAGAGGGAGAAAGGGGGAGGGAGAAATTTGGGGATTAAAATACAACCTCAAAAATAACTAAAAAAGAAAGAAAATGAAAGGGAGGGAGGGAAGAAAAGAGGAAGAAAGAAATGAAAGAATAAAACTATAGGTCATTTCAAAGTAGTGCCTCTGAAGGGACAGCTTGACTGTTTACTGTTCTGAGCTGGGTTTGCAGTTAGGATGCACTGGGCGTGGCTGCCAGGACTACTTAGGGACTCTCAGGTCCTCCTTGAATCCTCATTTTATGAAGTCTGCACTCTCGTTTTCAGGTGGAAAGCTTCGTAAGGCCAGAAGTAACTCATTGTCTTTTTTTGTTTTTGCTTTTTTTTTGTTTTTTTGTTTTTTGTTTTTGTTTTTTTGAGACAGAATCTCTCTATAAAGCTCAGGCTTCCCTTGAACTCGATCTAACTGCTTCTGCCCGCCCAAGTGCTAGAATTAAAGGCCTGCACCACTACTGCTTCCAACAAGAAGTTATTTAAGATGGGATCATTAGACATACATTTAGACCTTTGAAATATTTAATCTCATAAGACTTTGTAAAATCCCATCTATTTATGTGTATCGGTGTTTGTCTGCAACCGTGTCCATGCCAGGTGCCCTCAGAGGCCAGAGGAAGAGGGGAGTGGAATGCTCTGGAATTGGAGTTACAGATGATTGTGCACTGCCACTGCTGGAATCAAACCCACTGAGCCATTTCTCCAGGCCCCAGCTTTGTTTTTGTTTTTAACTCAGCAACAACTTTCTTCCTACCAAAGTGGGAAGTTCTTAGTCTGGCCAGGTGGCTACAGCTAAGGGACTGGGCTGGGGAGTCTCAGATCAAGGCGCTGATGGAGCCAGCATGGAACTCTCCTAAAGCATTCTCAGGTGGTAGAAAGGTTACACAAGCCCCTCCCCACCCCACCCCCACCCCCGCCCCGCCTCATTTAGGAAGTCACTAATTCTGTTCACAAGACCTAATCATCTTTTTCTTTTCTTTCTATTTTTTTTTCCTTTCGAGACAAGGTTTCTCTGTATAGTCCCGGCTGTCCTGGGACTCTGTAGACCAGGATGGCCTTGAATTCAGAGATTTCTCTGTCTCTGCCTCTCAAGTGCTGGGATCAAAGGCATGCAACGCCACTGCCTGGCTCCTAACCATCTTTTCCAGGCTCTTTCCTCAGTGGAGAGTTTCAGCGTAGAATTTTGAAAGGACACGAACATTCAAATCACAGCAAGTAACTAACAGTTATTGTTGCCATAAAAGTTTCAAGGACCGTCCCCTTGTGCTATGTGGCCTCCTGGGAGTAGTGGGTAGGTTAGTGGGTAGGTTTGGCAGGGGTGAGAGCACCAGGTGGACAGCTAGGTGAGCCCCATATTTCCTGTCCGGCTTCATATGACACAGTTACATCATGCAAGCACTTGAACAGTGTCTCCATTTATCTCATGTCCCAAGCCATACTTTTTTTTTTTTTTTTTTTTTTTTTTTTTGGTTTTTCGGGACAGGGTTTCTCTGTGGCTTTGGAGCCTGTCCTGGAACTCACTTTGTAGACCAGGCTGGCCTTGAACTCACAGAGATCCTCCTGCCTCTGCCTCCCGAGTGCTGGGATTAAAGGCGTGTGCCACCAATGCCCGGCTCAAGCCATACTTTAATCTGCTGGGATTACCAGTTTCTGAATTAGCTGGTAATTCCAAAGACAAAAAAAAAAAAAAAAAAAGAACCCACAAAACACTGCCAATTTCAGATGATGCAAATCCAAGTTAGTGGGAACCCAGCCCTGTGACACCCCCTAAGAGTGGGCCGGAGCCTTTGAGAGGTTTTGTTTGCCCTCCAAACAGCTCTCTGGCAGTGTCTTGTCTGAGGTCACAGAACACAGAAGTGTCTGACAGGACAGGCGCAACACTTGACAATGTAATGACACCGTGTGAGGCTTGCTGAGACCCTCAGGAACGCTCGCCACATGCATTTGCCCCTGGCTCCTCGGCAGTTTTCCCACTATTCTGATGACAGCCTCAGTCTGTGTCCCCAAATCCTCTGATTCAGCCTTCCTTTCTTCCCTCTCAACCCCTGCTCTCAGAGAAGAGCTAAACTTCGAAGTAACCAACCCTTGTTTGTTTGAATTCGTGGATGACAGAAAAAGAACCAAACCAAGCAGCTACGTCTAGGTTGTCCAGGTCTTGTGATGGGCTCTTTGCCTCCTGTGCAAAGACGATATCTCTTCAGGGACCAGGGCGACTTTGGGCCTCCAATATCACCCCCGGCCCCCCCCCGTGCTTTAGCTAAGGTGTACGTTTCATACGTTCTTTTTCTTGAAAGCAAAAAGAGACGGAAAAAAACAAACAAGAATTT